GATGGAGGCGGCGGTGGAGGTGGGGTAACTACAGGTGGAGTGGGGGTAAATGGAGGGAAGGGTGGGAAGGGGAATGATGGAGGTGGCGGTGGACGTGGTGTAACTACAGGTGGAGTTGGGGTAAAGGGAGGGAAGGGTGGGAACGGGCAGGGGAATGATGGAGGAGGTGAAGGAGGAGAAGGCGGTGGCGAAAACAAGGGCGGAATAGGAGTAAAGGGAGGAAAGGGTGGGAATAGGTAAGGTGGGGGAGGAGGCGGTGAGGGTGGCGTGAACACCGGTGGAAATGGAGCGAACGGGGGAAAGGGCGGGAAAGACGGAGGCGGCGGCGAAGGGAACAAGGGCGGGAGCAGCGGCGGCGAAGGGAACAAGGGCGGGAGCAGCGGCGCCGGTGGGTTCGGTACTGCTGGGGGGAAGGGGAAGGGAAAGGACGGCGGAGGAGGCGCAAATGGCCATGGGAAGGACGGCGGAGGAGACACAAATGGCCATGGTAACGACGGTGGAGGAGGCGCAAATGGCCATGGGAAGGACGGTGGTGGTGCAAATGGCCACGGGAACCCAAACGGTGGCCAGAAGAAGAGCGAAGAGTTCGCAGAGCTCGGTGACAACTCGCCGTCATCTCCACACAAGTCGGCGTCCTTCTTCGACGGCCTGTAGTTGAGCGCATTCAGGTTGTAGAGGCACAGCTTCCCTTCGCCGCCTCGCACCGCCACATGCTCGGTGGAGCTGCTCAACCCAGGGACGTCACACAGCGACGACGGAGACTCCGCCAGGCTCGCTCGGCAGAAGGAGTCCACCCCTCGGCCCTCCCTGCACTCGAACCCGTCCACCGGCGGGATGTCGAGCTTGTAGACTCCGAACCTGTCCGTCGTCCTGTCGACGGCGACCCTCATCTCGCCCGCCGACGTCTCGTTCACTCGGAGCACGCATTGCACCCTCACCTTGACACCTGGAAGCAACCCAAAACCCTAAGCAACAACGCATGCAGCGAAGCGAAGCAACGCATGACCAGTTGAGGTTCCCGTTCCCTTCACCTTCTAAGAAGTAGCTGTGCTGGGAGAAGTTGTTGTTGGCGCAGGCGTCGCAGAAGACGGTGCCCATCACGGTGACATTGGAGATGGGCTTTGGGTCAGCCTCGAGGCACAGAGACCTGGTGAGGAGGAGTGCGAAGACGGCAACGAAGATTGTGGGATTCATGGCCAAGGGTAGGTGGCATCAGAGAGAAGCTGAGTGATACTGCTTCTTCTTCTTCTTGGTTGGTGCAAAAGGAGAAGAAGACTCTGTGCCTTCACAGGTCCATGGAACATGGAACAAAGGCACGTGAAGGTCCTTGAGGCATTTCGTGAGGTATTAGAAAGGTAGAAGCTTTGTTCGGTTGCGATCACGGGTGCTTCGAATTATTAGGTGGCTCTCTCTCAGGTTCCTTGATGATCCATTACAAGACACTGGGTGACAGGGATGAGGTTTGTGCCGGAAGAAAGACTGTGTCACTACCGGACACCGCCGCTGTACATCCTGCATTGTCGATGGGCAAAAGCTTGGCTATAATCTCTACTAGATCTCGATACCAAAACACCCTTTATTTGGATCTTCAACTCATTAAGTAGTACTCGCCAAGAATTGGAAAGACACATAAGAGGATCAATCGCAATCGAGGTTGCAGACATTAGGACTGTCCCTCCAACCAACAGCAGCTTCTGCACTGCATGAGCTGCAGCTCGATACAAAGGCTTGCCCTCACTATTTCTGTGTTCTGTCCACTGCAATCACCTGTGTTCTGTCCACATCTCAAAATGATGCAAATTAGAGTCTGTCAGTAACTCCCCAAGAATAGAACAAATGGTTTCGATGTTAGGAGGAAGGTTAAGATTCTTGTGTCGGAATAGGTGTTTGCAACCCTGTTTAGTTTATACTTGAATTCAAGGAAAAAGCCAAAGCATTGCCATGTAAAGATGCTACTGTGGTAGGATTAGTGCCACAGATGAGTGGATACCAAACAGAGTACAAGGCATGATAAGCTTGAGTAGCTTCAAGATCTCTCAGTTGTGGTCATGGTATGGTGATCTTTGAGGAGGTCTCAAGGTATTATTATACATTGGAATAAGGCTGCCAACAGAAACTAATACAAAGTTTTAGTTCTCACAACCTGTAGCATGTCAAATCAGAGTACAAGATGGAATTTTTTTTTGCATCAATTATTGATTCGATAGCAGATTGAGAAGCTTACAAAGCATCATCAATCATAGAGACAGTCATCTTGAAAATGGGAGTTTGACACAACTTGACATCATCTCCAACTTGGAAAGAAACACATATGACAGTTGGCAAACTGTGCTGCTCGATCAACAATGGAAGACCTGTGACCTACAGAAAAGATTAGTGTATCAGCATTCTTCAACAATATCTGAAATCAATCAACATTTGGATTAATAATTGGCCACCTGTATCTTGTAGCTGCATGAGCAAGCAACAGTGATGGTTATTATGGACTTGCATATCTATACCCTTCATGTTTCAGACACACTTGAAGGATTTGAAATAATACACCACTAGAAGAATACTGAAACCACCTCTTATACGGTGACAAATTGTGACAGGATCACAATAATACCTATATCCTACAAGTAAACAACATTCAACATTTAGTAAGTTGAGATCAAAACTGAGATCTACATGCATAGATGAGCAATCCTGAAAAATTATCACAGACAAGACTGGAATCAATTGGCACCTGGCAGCAGGTCAGCACTCCAATACGACAAATGCCAGATAGGACAGCCCTTCAAGGATGAGTATGATTTCAACCCAACTTTCCTGTCTTTATCCAAACAGAAACTCAAGTCGGCATCGAACTCTCTCGAGTCCAATCTATATATTAAGCTGCATGGAAGATTAGCTAGTTCAGATCATAGCAATTGAATGCATAACCAATATTGGTGGTGTGTTTGAAGAGACTTCTATGGATACCATAGTTATCAGTGTAATTTGAAGTCAATTTGTTTGTTTCGCGACAGCATGGCTATTGTTGCGCGTATGTAGGACTCCAACATACTACAAGAAACAAGGTACATAGATTCTGTGTTATTTTGATAGGGGCTTATTTACTAGCAATGCAATGGTGTGGCGTATAGTCCCCTTCAAAACTTACTTTCAAATTTCCAGATTTAGATTGTGTATCAGCACAGAGTATGAAAAATTTAGTTCATACTCGCTGTTCATCTGTAAACATCAGCTTTTTCAAGACTATGCATTGGCTCAAACTTCAATTCTTTCTGGTTTTTGTTAATGAACAACTACTTGACTAGCTGTCCTTGTTAATGATGACTATGGATCAACATGAAAATGAAAAGAAACAACACGAAAATGAAAATAAACAAGGCGTTTGATGTGATCTGGAGTTAACGCAATCAACATATGGAATAGATCAAGGGAGAGGGAAAAATGTAGTTAGAATGAGATACACAACCATCATTCATATACTTAGCTTGTAGGACTATCCTTTGTCATCAACCTGTATCATGATAGATAGCACAATGCAGTTAAAAGTGGTTCCCTTTTTTTATGTCCTCCACACTTGCTGCTGCTCATCCCAAGCAGTATGTGTTCTGATAACTTGGTCTACGTTATGGTGCAAGAATAGGGTGTCTTCTTTGGCAACTTGTCAACCTTCTCTGGTCAAAAAAATAGGGAAAAAAAAGAAACAGCTGAAAGTGCAAAACATCAGGGTCAAATTTTCATTGACAAAGACTCGAACCTCACTATTCAAATGGAAGATGGAAAAGAGCCAATGCATAGAAAAAGCCACACATTTCTACATCTAGAAAGATAGCACTCGGAGGAACTCTATGAAAGGTCCAGACAGACATTATATATCTCTATCCATAAACCTGCTGGCAGAGCAATTTATTTTTAAATCTGAGATCAGATTAAAAGGTGCTACAATAACTCTGTGCATACATGAACAGTGAGCCTATATATGAATGACAAAATATATGGCTGTTTACAAATGGTAGTTGAGCATAAAGAGGTGCAAAAAGTTCAGGTGACCGAAAAATAGTGCAAAACTAACATTGTGATGTGGGCACAAAACAGAGATTATCATGTGTAATATTGATGGCAGTTTCTTCACTAACCATGAAATATAAGTCTCACACATTTTCATAAACAATTAGCTGTATCCTACACATCAATTATGTTTCCGATTAAACTGGCAGAGCATCCTGCAGTTCAGATTCAAATATTTATAACTCAAGTGATGAACAAGCAGAAAACTTGACGATTTGAACAACCAAACCTAAAACTTTTGACAGCTTTAGCAAATGGCAAACCAAAAGACAAGATTTGTTAATTCCAAAAGAATCTTCTAAGAAAATACAGATGACAAGGTATCGAAAATATAAGTGAAATAATAGTAAAACATTTAAAAGGATAACATGATATATTATGTGGCCATTGTGACTATTAGGTACATGCCTCAGTTTTCAACATGTTTGTTACGTCGTAAACATTCCATGCTAAACTAATATACATATAAAATCTGCATGAAAGTAGAAAACATTAAAATAACCCAATTCAAACACATTTGCAGAAGGTGGAGAGAAGTTTCCTACACTTTTAATAGGGTGTAAAAGGCAATCATATAAGAACTAAAATCCATGACTAGCATAGAGGGAATTTCCAACCTAAACTAACTTCCATATGTATTCTCAACTACGAACTTATCACAACTTACTTTCGCAATTCCTCTGGCTTTAAAGCATTTGTAACCATCTTGATCTTATCTCTGCTTTAGAATTTCACAGTATCAGAAAACTAAAAGATGAAGAAGGCACATATTCACACTTGCGTTGCCTACAAACACATGCTGCCATTACTAATTATTGTTGTACTTTAGTGCTCACCATGTTCATTAACAGAGAATTACAAGAATAGTTGGAGATAAGTTTTAGGGCTCAAAAGATACCGTAATTGGGATGCCAGCTCATTTGACCAAGCAAATCAACCCATTTAAGCATATAAAACCTCTAAAGTCCATGTAATTGGCTGATTGGGTGTATATATGCACCTGTTCGTAGCATACAGGGATCAAGTATGTGATCTAACCACATACTGACACACCACATAAAATATATGAACTGCAGTTTGCCTACCATATTGGCACAAGTAACCACCTAGATAATACAATTCTAAAAGAATCAAAACAGAGTCCAACAAATTCATACACCTTAAACCAGCCTATACACTGTGGAGACATGCCAAGAAGGCCAATTAAGTAGCACAAGGGCCTAGACAAACCAAAAGGACTAACTTGAAACCACCTCTGGTGAGCCTTGAACTGACACTAAGTAAGAGCACAGCCAGAAATAGTTAATTAAAGCAGGAACTGTTTACCTTCTTAAGCAAAGTAAAATTAGCAACCATCACTGCCAAACAAACATGAAATGGACTTTAAATGAAAGAAAATTTTCTTAATCATGGAAACTACAAAGACTGACAGCAGATAAAAGCTACCTAGGTTCCACCAACCATTCCTAAAAACTGAATCTAACATTCAATCCAAGTGCAAGATGCAAAAAGAAATCCATCCTTCTGCTTTCGGGGATCCTTGACATCAAAAAATATCTGACAGTTCAAATTTCAAACGTTTTGGAAACAAGCAATGAAATTCCTGACACTGATTCAATCAAGACATCATCCTCATCCATCAATAGAAGTCTAGAAAGTTAAATGAAAGAAAATTAAAAGAGAATGCAAGATAATAATATGCTTAAACAAAACTTGAAGACTTCACGCTGTCAACTCCAAGTTCAAAAAACAATTCTAGGTTCGGCATAAGGCACAAATAAAGCATAGTTATCAGAGCCGGACTCAACTGGATAGTCAGACTTAAAAAACGGGAATTCAGACCATTAACTGGTTTCACTCATTTATTGGGTCGATTATGTTTAAGAACCGGAGCGAGTTGGTTGACTCGACCAGTTTTTGGATAACTTGCATGACTTGGTCGGGTTTAACAAGATCAGGTCGGGTTTAATAAGATCGACTCGGTTTTACAAAAAAGTTAAGATTCTTTAAGTATCCTTAACTCTCTTTTTTCTTATTAATTTTTTAGATGATAATTTACGTCAATTTTGAGTTTAGATTAAGTGAGCAGGAAATTGACCTTTCTCATCTGATTGCTTCCCTCCTTTCTTCCCTCTTGCCACTTCTCCCCCTACCTCATCTCCTTCCATCATCGTTCCCTCTCTATCCTTCCTCTCTTGTGTCTTCTCTTCATCTCGTCTTCCTCCGGTCACTCCTCTTTTTACAACATTCTGCATCTTCTATGCGTTTTTCTTCCTTCAATCATCTACGTTCATCCCTCGGTTGCTCTTGCTCCTGAAATCATCTTCTTATTGTCATCTCTTCTTGTTGTATTGAATTTCTTAACATATGTTTCACTTAAACTTTTGTCGTATGTTACCTCCATATCACTATTCTTGCTTAATTAATTGGATTGCATATGCACTTTTTAACCTTTAAAATATTGTCACGTATTGACTTAATTTGGATAAAAGTTTATGTTCACAATATCGATTGATGTTATCATTTTTTTCATAATTTACACAACTGAAGTTTTGCTTTTATTTGTCAAAGTTGTTCAATTTTGTATTAGTTATGGTATTTTAGACTTTTATTACATAATTTTAAGTCATTTTATATGTTTTAAAATATTTTTAAAATTAAAAAAAAATGGTCCGGTCAGTTGATCCACTGATCTGACCAATGACCCAAGGCTTGGCTGGATCTATTTCCAACTCATGCCGAGTGTATTTACCAACAAAACCCGTAAATCTAGCATTTAAAGCTGATAGCCATTCGAGTCTTGCAACCATCTCACATTCTTATTCCATGTACCACGTAGCACTCGGTGTAAACCTAGAAAATTAGTCAAGGAATCATGGTAATCAACAATTTATCAGCAAACAAAACGAATGAAATTACTTGCTACCAAACGAATACAAGACAAATCAAAGATAGCCTTCTTTTCACAGGGTAAAACAAGGAAGGGTACAACTTAGAAATCTTCCAAGTTATAAAATCTCCTTACTTCTTATGGATCTTAAACCAACTAAGTAAAAGCACTTGGATGCTCATCAAAGGAGTTTCTTTTCTGACAAGGAAGCAAAAACTGTACCTCGGGGCCACTCGGAGACTATTCTTTTCTCGAGCGTTGCAATCGTCGACGACAACCAACACCGGATAGAGCCTCGATTTGGGCTCCACCAGATCCTCATCGAGCTAAGTCCTTTACCATGAATCAGGAATTCTACAACCAAAGCAAACTTCGAGTAGAAAAAAAAAAAAAGAAGAAAAATCGCACCTGTGCAGGTAAAATCCAGCGGGATTGGTGACACCGGCGCGAGAGCAGCATCGAATGCCAGGGCAATATGGGGAGACAAGGAAACCCTACAATGGGGGCGATGTTTCCTGCTTCCGTGAGGATTTCCTTAGGCTGCAGAGTTTGACCTACGCAGGGGAGCGACTTTTCTTTTATACTTTTACATATTTACTCTTCAAAAGTTTGAAAATAGCATATTATTAGTTAATTTTTAAATTTAAATAATATTATTTAATATCTAAACTATTATTAGCATTTTAATCATCCACGTTTTTTTTTTATAGAGGATATGATAATTTTGTAGATAACACAACTCAAAATGTAAGAGGATAAATATGTAAAAAAAAATCAATGAATTACCACATTTCATTTTTGTTCATGCATATGGATATTTTTTTTTTGTAAAAAAAATCCCTCACTAACTCTATGTTTTTTTTGGGCTTTTTTTATTTTTACCAATTTTTAACTATTGCAGTACTTTCATTTGACTCATTTATGATGTTTTTTTCAATAATAGTACTATTAAACTATTGAGGTGCTTAAAATAATATAATATTATTAAAAAATATTATAAGTGACATCATATTTTTTTATTATCGTTACTCATGTATCATTATATTATTATATTTTTAGACTTTTAATTAGTTTGGTTAAAATTATAAGTTCATTTCAATCATTTATAGTGTTTCTAAGTATATTGCAAAAGACTACATCAACCTAAAACAATACAATGGGAGAAAAAAGTTCTATAGGGTTGGTGAAGGATATTTTGAATATTATTTGAAATAATGACATCATAAAACAAAAAATGTTTCTTTTATGGGAAAAACAAAAATAAAATTAAGTTTATATTAAAATATTTTGAAGTCTTTCCTTACCCCTCTTATCATTAGTATTAATTGTAACTGATGTCGATGATTCTTTCTTATTTTGTTCTATATTATAATTACTTTTTATTGTTCATGAATATTTATTTTTCATAATTCAAAGGATATGATGCAATGTTCGATGGTGATAAAGTATATTTTGGACTCCAGTCACGTCACCACCCACGCCTTTACCACATCAGCACGATGGGGGACCCTCGTATGCCGAGGCACCCCTCGGTACATCCCGTCCCGGAAAGCTCGAGATAGCGCCGTTCCGCACATTCCGGGATGATGATTGTATGAAGTACCACATTGCCCCTTGGGGATCGGTGACCGCGCCAAACCCGTGTACGATTGGTCCTCGTATAGTAGTATAAAAGCTCCTGACCGGCATCTGATCAGGGGAGAGAGGAAAAAAGGAAAGATCAATCACTAACTTAGTCATCGAGGGGCCAATATAGGGAACTCCCTGACGAGGGCTTACTGTGTAGGAGTGCTGTCACCCCCGGAAGTACGACTACCCCGACCGAGAAACAACCTCCCCGAAGACAACACCAGAGCCTTGATCGTGAAGCGCTTCCCTGCAGACGATGTCGACATCGTGGACGAAGCCACCCTATGTGCTTCGCCTGACCGATCGCGAACTCCCAATATCGACCCGTGGACCAAGCCGTGGATCAATCCACTGATCATTACTGAATCATTAGACATATCCCATTTTCGAGTTCTCACATATTATTCATCATTTAACCTAACGAGCAAAAATTATATCAACCAAAAATTGCGGTGTCAAACAAGATCAAGAACTGAGTGCACGCCAAAATTGACGCCCAAGTCAAACTTCCAACTCCACACGCACTTTGCCGCACCTGCCAAGCTCCCAAATCCTTTGACTTCAACCTTGTGTTCAACGGCCAATGCTCTCGATTCAATGGGACGGGGTCGGATGGATGGATGGCCATGAAGCTTCAACCCATGCCTAATCTCTCGTATCCACATCATATGTAATGGTAGTGCCGCATATGACCAATCTTGATATATATATATATATACATATGCTATGTCGAATTTATCATATTATTTCCAAACGCTGGAAACCAATAAATAGTGGATGAATCATGGATGTGTTGATTGCAGCTGTCCTTGATCATATGGCCATGTTAGGATCGAGTTAATGCACTTAAATGATGAAACCACATTTGCATTCAATTAGAAATATCCAAAACCGGCCAAGTGGTTGATCTTAGAATTAGACATCCTAAATTAGTAGATTAAAATGATATGTGAAATGCTGGATTAATTATTTTCCTCACAATTAACATACCCCTAATGTTTGGTGTTAATCAAATCACAAGAAAGGTACAAATATATATTTATATTTATATTTAATTCTCATGAGATCCAACTTTGTTTTGTATTGTATATGAATTATTTGAACCTAACATACCATCCGACACGTAGATATTATTATGTAGAGAGATATAGTACGAATAGAAGCGGAAGCATTGGGCGATGAGACTTCTTTCTTCTTCTTCTTCTTCGCCGCCCACTCTACACTATTCCTTTCACACACGCACGCAGAGGTCCGAAAAGGCATGAGAATCCCTCTTTTTTGGTAGCCCCTTCCTCCGAGTGATTGATTTCTCTATTTAGATCACGTCGACGTGATCTGAATAGCGAGAATTCGGACCCAATTTGATGCCCCCGAAGCGGTTGATCCGGCGATTCCGTCGAATCGGAGCGGTGATCGAGAGAGTCCGATGAAAAGCCCTGTTTCTTCTGGTCGTCGTTGAGCAGATTCGGGTCTTCCGCGACATGGGTTGCTTTCCGTGCTTCGAATCGAAGGAGGGAGCGCAGCTCGGCCGCGGGAACGAGAGCGATCGCAAGAGGGAGGAGCAGCCCATGGTGGCGCCTCGCGTCGAGAAGTTATCCTTGGGTGAGTTTCAGCTCCTGCGCGGATTTGATCTGTAGCTCGAGTGCTTCGAGTTTGATGCCGGGAAATATGGTCCGGACGTGGTGTTTTTGTTATGCCATCTCGCTTGTCTTTGTTAAAGTGGCGTTTTGGCCATCTTTTAGCTGAAAGATCAAAGAAAAGAAGAAAAGTCTGTCTGCCGCTTTATCTGCGATGATGGAAAACGTGATTCGTGGCTAGATCTATCTCGGGTCATTAGAGAAGAAAGTTGCGATGACTTTTTATCTTTTCCTGTCACGTTGCTCTCCGGTGCTATCGATAGTGTAAATGGGGCTAATGGGTTTTGTTGACTCGTGCTATCAATTTTCAATTCACTTGAGTTCTTTTTGATCAGATGATCCATTTAAGAACCCTCGGCGAACTGTAAAATCTTACTTATTCGATTCTGTCTTGTTGCATCATGAATTTGCAGGGAATGATGATAGAAAGAGGACACCCAACAGTTTGAACACACAAAAGGAATCCTTGGGCGAGAAAAGGGGGGCTGAATTTTCTATTTCGGCACAGACTTTCACCTTCCGAGAGCTTGCTGTTGCAACTGGTAACTTTAGATCCGAGTGTTTTCTCGGGGAAGGAGGATTTGGGCGGGTCTACAGAGGGCGCCTGGAAAGTACTGGTCAGGTAACTCTACGAATGAGAGGACCTCCTGTTTGTGGTTAGTCGATTTCAATCTGCTTAATTGTGCCTGAGGACCGCTTAAAGTTTCATCAACATATGTAACGTCTCACTAAGTTCTTATGTTAAATATTTGCAATGCTAAAAATGACAATTATCAAGTATTGATATTTAACTGCATAAGGCCAGTAAACTCAAAGTTGGAGATTGGAGTTGTATGTTCACATTATGGGGACGGATGTCTATGCGCACCTGCAGGTTGTGGCAGTAAAACAGCTTGATAGGGATGGACTCCAAGGAAATAGGGAGTTCCTGGTTGAGGTCCTCATGCTTAGCCTGTTGCATCATCCCAACCTTGTCAATCTAATTGGTTATTGCGCTGATGGAGAGCAACGCCTTCTTGTGTATGAGTTTATGCCCTTGGGATCGTTGGAAGATCATTTGCATGGTAAGATCTCTATTTTCTGACATAGAAATTTTGCTTGACTCATCACAAAATGAGGATCTTCCTTTTGTCTATTTGAATAATTCTTGCTGTGTAGGTTATTACATTCTGAGGCATTGTTCATGCTTTACCTTTGTTGGTTTTTCATCTTCAATTTCTTTGTGTACTTAAGGATATCTAGATTCATGAGACATTCAATTTTGGTACTTTGAAATCGAAGAAATCAATTTTTGTGTAAGCTGGTGTCCTTCTTGGCATATTTATATCAAGCTTGCCTCTTCTAGAAAGCTCATTATTTTCATGGAAAAGAAATTAAAAGATTCGAAGAGCTTATAGCATCTAAAAGGATCATGTTACTCACTCCTAAATCTGGTTCCCATTAGAGGCTTCTTTAGCTTATAAACATTCTCGTTCCATAACCTGCTTTTCTTTGGTTCATTACTATGTGATAGACAAGGGCCCGCATGATAACTGATGGAAGTCACATCGATAACTCATATCCTGGCTAAACCTAAGGCCAAGTTTCTAAATTTTGTTGCTGCAATATCCGTACATATGACTTTGGGCATGTGCATTCTTCATTTAGACTCGGCTCTGTACACCCTTCACCATCAACATTTAGTTGAGGCTGTCTGTGTCATCACATAGGATTTCGCTGCAACTTTCAGTTGATAAGTCTGTTAATATGATAACGGCACAAGTTTTTAGAAGCTTACATGATTGTACATCATTATCTAGTCTCTATTATCATTGTTCACAGGCTCTTTGAGTTGATGGAATTTGTGGGATTGTGAGTCGACTATACTTCGCTTAGCAGCTAAAACTTGGAGTCCAGTCCAGTCTGGCTCTGAGTTTCTTGAACTCAACCTGGTTATTAAACTTTAACTAGGTTTATTTAAGTAGACTAACATCACACCACTTTTTGCTAAAAGAAGCCAAACAATATTTGGTCGGCCTTGTCTATCGATCAAAAGGGAGTTTAATATATAAAATTGGAGGGATGTTATTACTAACAACAAAACTATTATTCCTTTCTTTATCCATAAAGGATTAAATTCATTGTCAAGGCTTCAAGTTAGATCATTTATATATTTAAAATTTAATTGATGTGTATCCAAATCAAGCAAGCCAAATTGGGATTAGCAAGATTCACTCTCGAACTAGGCAACCAAAAAAAAAACAAAACAAAAAAAGAAACAATCTAGTTCAGTGTCTGGAACTCGAATTGAATGGTCTGGGCTGCCTGATCACAGGAAGGAGGAAGAGGAGACGACAATAAGAGAAGAAGAGAGGAGAGACAGAAGAGGAAAGGCCGGGAGGGGGTGCCTAGATCCAGATAGGAGATGGCCAGAAGGTCATTTACTTACTGTCAGTGATGTGAAGAACATCATGTTTTTTGTCAGATGCCAGTAAATTAGCATGAGACTATATATTGAACCAAGGAAAACATTATTTATATTTTATGACTTGATGATAGATTGTATAATGTAATTTTATCTAATTCAAAAGGACAACTAGGACTCAACCTACACCTAATCGGACATTGTTCACTTGGTGTTCTCTTTGTCCATTCTCATCTTAATGGAAGTCTTTCAACTTGATTGTTTGGAGCCTTTTAATTGCATCTTCCCTGTCTTTTCTTTGTGTCATACCCATATGCTTTGTCATGTGACCAAGAGAAACTGTTGGTTTCTTTTTCTGTTATAGCTGCTCAGCCTGTATGTTACTTTGGTTCTTTGTGTCTCTCTTTATTATATGTTACATGTGTTCCATCTTAAAGGTTGTTCGTGCATTAACTTCTTGTCTACTTGATCTTATAAAACTAGTTGGTACTTTAGCTATGTATATTCTCTCTGAAGAAAAAGGTTAAATATCTCCTTTAGTCATAATTTTTAATATAGACTTTATCCATCATCCATGTGAAAGTACTTTCTACTTTCTCTAGGACTTGCAATAGCCAAAAGCTTGGCAGTCAGTGATAATGTGCTATGGCAAAAGAAGTTCGGTAATTGGAAAAGGAACTTCTAAAATTTGGAAATAGTAAGGAAGAATTGTGGAACCTAAAAAGATCAAATTTCATTATTATTTAGTACTTGTCATCTATGTGATGTGTCATTTTATGATGCAAGTTATTCATAATTGATTAATAACTATTCTCACTGAAACATAAAGAATTTATATTTTATTTTATATAATTATGTGACAGAATATTCTAGTTAATTAAAAAAAAGCAAATTATTTGCAGAGAAATTTGGCACCTGACATATATGAGAAATCCACAAATTCATTATTCCCAGTTCCCACCATTGACTTTGACAACAGGAGTACATGGACTTGTGTGCATATGCATGTTTGTTGCAATCTTCAAGATGTCAATAGAAATTTTTATATTTAGCTGTTTTCAATATGAAAACACAGGATCACTAACGTTTTATACATTTTTCATAAAACAAACTTCGCATATGTTCCCCTGCTTATTTTTCATTTGTTCCACTCATTTATTTGTCACTAATAAATAAATGTTTTCGAGGGTCATTTTAATGCACTTAAATTGTCAATGAGTTACCAATGGCTTATTAAACTTTAGTTTGTTGTTTAGCCATGTCATTTAGACTCGGCTCTGTACTCCGGATATTTTATTTGATATGATGCACTTCTATGGACCTTTTTCTATGGAGGCCACTAGGATGGGATCTGATTTTAAACAACAGGTTTAAAATCAGATAGTCATACATCCGGATATGTACATCTCAGTTGATCGAATAGGTTACTTCTCTTTATCCATCCACATAACATATAACAAATGTTTTTGTTGACTTGATAATCTGTATCTTCATTGACTGAAATAATTTATGGGATAGGTAGAGACGTTGTGAATAACCTATTTATCTGTCTCCAGACCTTCCACCTGATAAGAGTCCACTTGACTGGAATACAAGGATGAAAATTGCAGCCGGGGCCGCCAAGGGGTTGGAATACCTCCACGATAAAGCCAATCCTCCAGTTATCTATAGGGACTTAAAAGCCTCCAATATACTACTAGATAAGGGCTTTCACCCGAAGCTCTCAGATTTTGGCCTTGCAAAACTTGGTCCAGTTGGTGATAAATCTCATGTCTCAACAAGGGTGATGGGAACTTATGGATATTGTGCTCCAGAGTATGCTTTGACTGGACAATTAACAGTTAAGTCTGATGTATATAGCTTTGGAGTTGTACTATTGGAGTTGATTACTGGACGGAAGGCCATTGACAGTACCAAGACGCATGCAGAGCAAAATCTTGTTTCATGGGTAAGCTTTGTCAACTTGCTTTTTGTGGGTATTTCTGATCTTCATGCCTCAATATTTTGGGGAAATATGTGTCCTATCCTTATCTTCAGTGCAGTTCCATTCGGATTCACATTAAGATGTGGTCTGGCACATGTCTAAAAGTAAAAGAGTGCTCGGGCACCTGTTTGAAATTATGGTTGCATCTTTTGCTTTCTGGTATACACATCATTAAAACAGGGGATGACACACAACGTATTGAGTGCATCCCATCAATTGATTGAGGAAGTGCACTTGCAAAACTAGTCGCACAGTTTTATAAGTGGGGAATTGTTCTTATATTGTGCATTTTTTTACTTCTACAAGTATATAGTTCTTAATTTGTGATATATCTTATAGCAGCCATTAAGTTGTTCAAGAAAAACTTTCAGTTACATGTAAAACCCAAATGCTTTTCTGTTGAACTTAATTCAGCAAAATTTTGTAGAAACCAGGGCTCATTCTAGTCACCACATTGGAGTGCCTATTACTGAATCGCTTCTCGTCAAAGTCTTTCCCTCCATAAATGGCCTGTTAAGGAAAAAAAGTGAAAATGAAACTGAGACAGCATTATAAATGTAACTGAATTTGTCTACAAGGATTGTCATGAGAAGACCTGACCAGAGATGGTCGCTAAGTAGGACAAGTTTAGTAGCAACTTCTAGTGACATGTCCCAGGATATCATCATGAGATTATCCATTGCTGTGATCTGTTGTTTGCTTGAATTTCTCAACAATATGAAGATTGCTACCTTTCCAATTCAAATTCAATAAATCACATACACATACTTCAGGTTCGTCCTATGTTTAAGGAGCGAAGGAAACTCCCAGGTCTGGCTGACCCAAAATTACAGGGTCGATTTCCCATGCGTGGACTCTATCAAGCTCTCGCTGTGGCATCCATGTGCATCCAAGAAGAAGCTGCATCGCGTCCTGTTATCGCTGATGTTGTCACTGCTCTGTCCTACTTGGCATCCCAAGCATATGATCCTGGTGCAGCGTCTGCAGTTAACACTAGACCTAGTGGTGAAAGAACCAGCAGGAGTGGCGGTGAGGAAGGTGCAAAATTGACAGTTAGGGTCAATAATATAGACCCTGGGCATATGCAGCAAATGATTTCCGAGGACTCTTCAAAGGAGACAGTAGCAATCCTGAGACACAATTTTGACCGGGAGCGAGCTTTGGCAGAGGCAAAGATGTGGGGGCAGAACTGGCGGGAGAAGACACAAGCTAAAGCTAATGTAGAGGGAAGTTTTGATGTTGCAAATGCAATTGGATAGACACATTGGCAGAAAGCTTTCTCTTCCCATTTTTATGTGCATAAGAGAGTTGGAGCTGTGAAATGCTGCAGGAGTTTTTCTGTTTCTGTCTTCTAAAATGCAAGGATAATTAATGGGGAATATGGCTGTATATTGTTTGAGGCATGTAGGTGTTGTGAGTGGTAACTAGGGACCTGATGTGCTTCTTGTAAAATAAAGCAAAAAATTTGTATTTTATGAGGTAGAAGAAAGCTATATCATGTTCTCCATCCTGAACTTGAAATCAATCACTTAGTTCAAGTTGATGGGATTTATTTTATGATGAACTTCTGATACTGGTCTCAGCCATGGGAGCTATTTTCCAAATGCCTCCTATCTTTGAACATGCAGATGAAAGATGTTGAGCATGTATGCATGTGTACATGAATTTTCCTGAAAGGATTCCTTGTTGCAGTAGCATCTGTTAGTATCTTTGGACATGCATGTGCTGTCTAATTGTGTTGCTACAAATCTGCTCTCATGATGAGAAATATATTTTTGATCTATAAACTGCTTTGAAAGGTCTGAAACACCATAGTATTTGTATCAAACAGCTCTACATTTCCTTTTCCCCAATGGTATATTGGATTTTTCATTCTTTTTAATTTGTGAAATCTAGTTTTTCATACAATAAAAAATATTTATGATGATTAATGATTAGGATTTGAATCATGTAAAAAAGAAGCATCTTATGCAAAATTAGAACAAAATTAGAAAATGAAGTTTGTATGTTTTGAATCAAATATTATAGATTATAATAAATATATTCTGAATGATATCGATTCCCCTCTTCTCCTCTTTGCCCATCTTTTTCCTTTCTCCTATTCTCTTTACCTATCCCTCCCCGAGAGGAGCGGAAGAAAGGAAAAGAGACGAACAAAAAAAAAAAAGAGTTCAACGATAGGAAATGATAAACAATGAAGGAGGATAGGGAAGGGCCAAGTGGAAGCGGTAGGAGTAAGAGTAACAATAACAATGATAATAATAATAATAATAGACGCGACAATAATCGAAGATAACGATAATAAAGAACTAAAGATATTTTCATCGGATGTCCAAGATAAAAATCAATTTAAGGGTTTCATTTGCTTAAAAACATAATATTAAAAAAATTTCTAAGTCAAACGTTCATTATTTTTTATTTTTATTTTTATTTTAATCCATTTGTGACAATGAAGAAGCCTTAAGGAATACACTGTGCATTCACTGATAAAGCAATAAACTGTGTCTTACGCTACCTCTTTATTTGGATCTGGGCGACACGTATGGTCCCACTTATGTTCCAATTACAAAGGAGGTAAGAGAGAGAGAATACGTCATCGGGTAAGAAAAGTATTACCCTTTCAATTTTTATTTGGAGCTCGATGGTCGGAGATGGAAATATTGATAAGAGGCGGAAAAGGAAATCGAACCCTCGTTTCGTTCCGCTCCGCTGCTCCGAGCCGTTCGAGCGGCGATTTCGACCAATGGCTGGCGGAGGAAGCTTGAAGGAGGGCGGCTCGCCGGTGTTCGACATCACCCCCCACAAGATCGCCGTCTGCCACCTCGTCCAAGTCTTCGCTCTACACACGCAGCCGGACATGCCCTTCGCTTTCCAGTCCATCTCCCAACACCACCGCCTTGGCCTCTTCCTCTTTTCCCTTACCAGGGTTCGATCCGACACTCCTGCTATCATTCTCTTACGTCTGTCATTCGGGTGATTAGGTAGTTCGTGCTTTCTTGGTAGCCTTCCATCCATCTCCCACCACCACCTCCCTGGTCTCTCTTCCTCTTTTCCCTTAATAGGTCGTCTGAAACCCATTCCAGTCGCTCTACACACGAAAGCTTTCTGCTATTTCAACACCCTCCGCCGATGTTCAGCAAGTTCAACCGAAAGTCTTCGCTCTACACACGCAGCCGGACATGCCCTTCGCCTTCCAGTCCATATCCCACCACCACTGCCTCGGCCTCTTCCTCTTTTCCCTTACCAGGGTTTGATCCGATACTCCTGCAATCTTTCTCAGCTTACTCTTACGTCTGTCTTTTGGGCGATCTGGTAGTTCATTGCTTTCTTGGTAGCCTTCCAGCCCATCTCCCACCACCACCTCCCTGGTCTCTTCCACTTTTCCCTTAATAGGTCGTTTGAAACCCCTCCTATTTCTCTCTTAATTTTTTGCTTTCTTGGTAGTTCTTTTTTGCATATATACTTTGGTACTTTGTCCTGTAGGCAACTGTCAAACTCTGTTTTTTCTTTTCCTACTCTTTCGGAGTTCCATCAAACAAAGTGTTACTCCAATGTGAGAAAAGCGTTGTACTATTCGTTAGTTTACTATGGTTATGGTCATTAAGTTTTGGCTAAACAGTGACACTTTTTGTGGATCAAGTTTGGCATTTGGTCCTTGTCAATCTTCTTTAATTTGTACCCGACAAATCACTCTCTTTATTTCCAACGCATTTCAGAAACTCACTTGCTAGTTTTTCATTTTTCAAATTTTCATCTTTGATCCACAATCTTCTAGTTTCTTAATACATGCAGCTAAGTTACTAGTTGGTACAGTCAGTTTCCTTCAATTAAGTAGCTTATATTGTTCTTTTCTTTGTGATTTGAAGTCCTGTGAGAGTTTCTTGGATCCTTCATTGGAAGAACTTCTAAATCAGTTGAAGGCACTTGGTGGTTTGGCTATGTTAAGTGAGCATTTGATAAGCAACCTGTTGGTCCTATCTTCACCAGATGATTTGTTCAATTTTTTTGATAAACTGCGAGGTAGAAATCACATATCATGCAATTTTCTTCTTATCTATTTGTGCTTGCATACATGCGTTCTTACTTGCAAGCATACATATTTCTTATGGCTTTTTAGATGTCATGAAAACTACTGTTAGTTTTGGTCAGGAGTACTTGCAGCCCCTGAAGGCTCATCTATGGAAGAGGAGCAGACCTTGTTGGATCCAAATAGTCATTTGGGAATCTTTATCCGGTGTTGCATTCTGACCTTCAATATGCTGCCCTTTGAGGTGTTTAGAGATGTGCATCATTGTGTTGTATACTTAAGTTTCTTAATGTGTTTGCATTTTGATGTTGTTATTAGTTTGGTCATACCTTATTTATTATCTTTCTGATGTCACAAATTCTTGGATCCTATTGTCTGTAGAACATTCCATTCTTTCCTTCTTTCTTGTATAGTCTTTTAATTTTTTTTATTGTCTATGTGTGAATGTGCCACAAGAATGTAAACAATATCTTATTTATTTAAGAAATATTACTTTATCTTGACACTGCATATCCTAAGCTATATCTTGCATTCATGAAACAGCACATAGATTCCAACCATTGCTTGTTAGTCTTATTCCTTCAAGGATTCTAAAATATTTGAATATATATATATATATATATATATATATATATATATACTGTATATGTTTGAAGTATGATACAGATGCAGCTAATTTCCTTATCATTTTGAACTCCATATTGTTCCAACATTTAATATCCAAGCAATATCTTAAGTTCATTTACCAACTTAGATATTCTAGTCATTGCTTGCTACATTGTTTTGGTCAATCTATCAGTCTTAGTAATTCTTTTTTCTTTTTTAATGTGTCTTGTTTCTATGTCAGTTGTTAATGACATTTAAAATCATGTTAAAATAACATGATAAAGTTCAAGAAAGCTAGTTCCTAAATGTCCTTATGCTGTTAAACATTATATTTACTCTACCAACTACCCTTGGATGAGGTTTCGGTTGTTTTTGTGTTGGTCAATAAATTGTGATAGGTGGTACATGACACCCTAGTTTAGTCCCACGTCATATGTGTAAGAAAAATTGAGTTAGTTTAAAGGGCTAAGATGAATCTACCTAAGTATTTTGTTCTGGTGGTATATGCTTATTAAATTAGTGAGTTAGTTATTAGGTTGAGTGTGTGTGGTATATTAGAGCAGACCTAGTGTTGGGCATGATAATGCTCTCAAGTAGGAAAGGTTATTTGAGGATGTGGCTAAAGCACATCAAAATGTTGAACCACAGCTGTGTTGAGTCTCATGAGCATCATACTATGGTTTGATTTTGACTATGTTTCAATCTTGATGAGGACATCAAATATTACGTGGGGCAAATTCTGACATACCACCATTCTGGTCTTACATAGGATGTTGGAGGAAAATTGAGTTGGTTGTAAGGTCTAGATGACACTACTCATAGTGGTTCAGGTTTTTTAAATTAATGAGTTAGTAATCTCTTCGAGCAAAATTTTGCTTTTTCTGAACCAATTTCTGTCTTTACCCCCTACCGAATTAAACTAGTTGGTGCAGTTATACATCTGAAGCTGGTTGCTTGTCTCGAGGTTCAATAAATCTTCCTGGATACTGGCTATACCCTTTTTCAATTGAATTGAGCAGGAGTTTGGAGTGTATTGTATAAGCTCTGTGATACTAAGAAGCTAGTTAACCACAAATAACATCACAAAGACAATATCAGACTATGTTAAATCAGTTAACTGTTATTAGTAAAGTTCACACTCTCAATACATGGGAATGTTTCTGTGATGTGAAGAGTCTGCACGCCATGTTTAAGATTAGATAAAGCATAAAGTTTGTTTGTGATTGTTGTAGCTTTATGCTATCTTTTTTCCTCATGAAAAGGCTTGTACTCGAGGTTTGACATGTGTTGCATCTGATGTCCCTTCTGTGAATTCAGGCAAGGAGCGGATAGAAACTCATAAATATGGAGATGAAGTGGATGCAATTATAGTTGTGAAATGTGCAGATAAAAATGCACTCAGGAGAGGGATGTTGTGGAAGGTCTTTTTGTATGATAAGAGTATATACAAAATGATACTCGAAAGAAGAAGGATATTCCAGTATTGATGCGTCATTTGTGCTTCTGTGTGTGCCAGCCCAAGCACAAAGCCTGTGCCCACAGGCACATGGCACAGATTGAGCTGACCAGGCACCAAGACATGCTTAGCAGTGGCTCAGCAGTCAGCATTCTTCTACTGTATAGAAATAAGACATGACACTTTGGTTATTACAATTTGTATGAAACAAACTATGCTTCAAGGAGCGTTTTTTATTAATTGCATATCTCCATCATCACTTTTCAAGTTTCTAGTAGCTGATACTGTGCTTTTAAGACTCTTTTACCTCTAACTACTAAATTTATTTTTATTAGCTCTGATTATCTTTTCAAATAGATCTGTCACGGTGTTCCCTAGGTTGGTTGAGGAATTAACTTCTGTAATCCCTTCTATATTTGCAAGTTGAATTTGGAGGAGATAGGCTATTTTCTGCTCAAGTATAATAATATCTAGGAGGATATTTGGATACGTTTATAGGAAACTGAGGAATGGATGGCTGAGGCTGCTGTTCGCTTTATGCTAATAAAAATTATGAGTTCCAACTTAAGTATTGCTGTTGTTGCTAGACAACTCAAAAAATGTGATGTCCACTTAGCTTGTTTCCTTGAATTTTCCAGCTTTATTTGACTATCATTTTTGTTTAAATTCTCCAAGTTCATGTTGATTTGAATTCATTAATGCATATAATTTTATTATCTCACAGTTTTATGCTAAGTAGCTTAGTCAAGGCTCACATCTTCTTTTTCTGTAATATGTTTAGGGTGTTTGCCATCTTTTGACTAACTTAGTGGCATACTGTAACTCAAATGATTCTACATATGAAATGGCCGAAGATGATGATTTTAATGGATCAGAATTCCATGAACTGCTGGAGGATCCAGAAGTGTATTGTGAAGCTGCTGAATTTGAAGAATATGGGCTAGAAAATGATGCACAAGCTGCAGAAAATTTGACACACATTCCGTCAAAATTCCTTTCTAGTTTTCTTGAAGGTCTGTTAATTTTGATATAGTAGGGGCCATGATATCTAAAATATTTTGCAAAAGTATAAGATGGTATTATTTGCCATAATCTAGTCTGATTCTGAGTAGTGGTGATTAATATCTTATTTTGTCATTTTGTTGATTGCTTTAACAATTATTTGCTGCTATATGTTTCTGTCCTAGTTGGTACAATATCTAAGAAGTCACTTATTATTCTTGTTACCTTAGAAATAGACAATATGCTGTATTTGGTGAAATTGAACACTCCTGCTGATTGAACCAAACCATATTAGCTAGGCTGGTGTCTGGGAATTTAAATGTACTTGTTCACCATGAGCAGAAAAACTTGTTAATGAGCCACATTATGTGGCTTTATCTATTTGACCAATTCAAACATCTAATTTGAAGATATTTCTAAATTCATAGTTACTTGTCTAGGTTTCTGATTGTTTTATACAAGGTTTAAAATTTCGTATTGTATCGGTGTATCGAGTTTTGTTCGGCACGGTACGGTACATTGTATCGAACGGTATGTCAAGGCATATCGAGCGATATGCCTAAATAAATATATATATATATATATATATATATAGATATATATATATATTAATTAATATATAAAAATATAAAATAATTTTTTATAAAAAAATATAAAAATAATATAAAAAATATTAAAAAAAAAAGGCATACGTAGCCTCTGCGACGTCGCCTCCTCCTCTTCTCCTTGTCGTCTCGTCTGTGGCATTCGGCGAAGACGTCGAAGGCCGTAGACGTCTCCGGCCTTCGGCGAAGAAGAAGGCCGCAGAGTTGCAAATGAGGCGATGAAGGAGACTGCCTCTTTCGCTGCTCTAGCTGCCGCCTCCCTTGATCCCCGCGCCTCTAGATCCTCCTCTTTATGACTCTCCTCGCCGTTACCTCTTGGATTGGGATCGTCGAGGGAGGGTGGCACTGGATCGGGATTGAGAAAGAGCGTGGAAATAAGTTCGTGCCGAGGTTCTCCTGATTCTCCCTCTTCTTCAAATGCCCTCTCCTTCTTCTTCCTTCTTCGACGCTTCTCGCTCAGCCTCGCCGTAGCTAGGCCGCTATATCGAGCAAACCGCCCGGTTGTGGGCAGTCTGCGTACCGGTTCATGGACGGACCGGTATATACCGCCCATACCGGGCGGTATGACTCGAAATCGCAAACCTTGGTTTTATATGATTCTAATTTTGCTGATTCTTTTAAAAGCCATTCACTTATATACATATAATGTTACATGAGACAAATCTGGTCACTTTCTTTTGTCAACTGGTCACTGCTGATTAACTCTGAAGTCTTTCTTTTGTCAATCATGGTAATTCATATGTACCTACATGTCTACATCATTATCATTTTCTTTTGTCAATCATGAAAGTGTACCTTGTTTCTGTATAAAATGATTGGGCACATCAATAGTATGTGGTTGTTATTTGGAGCTTTAGGTAGGTTTAGTTTGAAGTGGAATAAAATTGTGCAACTCAGGGGTCTTTTTGTTATATTCTCTGTTCATAATTTTGGCGCATCTAATCCCAAATTGATCATGTGTCTATTGTATGACAAATTTGGGGCATGGATTATAGCTCATCATTCTCGACAACGTAGCTGCTAGTCAAGGTTAAATTAACCAGATGTTTTAACCTATGCTTGGTCTGTGGCGTCAGTTGGGGTGCTCCAGCAAGGATCAAGGCATGTATGGCTTGCATATTTAATCAGCCCCTTCTTTACTGGCACACTTTTCCTGTTTATATGACCAAACAAATTGTACTCGGTGTAGGGAAGATATACGTCCCTGCTTTTTATAGACCAATCTTTGTAGTCCTTGAAGTTTCATATATTTTGCATGTCTGCTTTTGTTATCATGCCTTTTTCTTGTTCAGTGATGCTTAATTGGTAGCTGTGACATGATTCTGTGTTAAACTTTATTGTTTCATGTTCAAGGAGTATCACAATTTATTTACAGAACTTTCTTACAAGCTTCATTATGATTAGGTGTAATAATCTTACGCGATATGTTAAGAGCTTCATTACCGCTTAGGTGTACTACATGAAGAGAGAATGCTTGTCTTTTGTTTGAAAAGACATTTTTGGTAACAGAGGGTACATTTTCCTTGATGCTTGTTTTCATGTTATGGTCTCCTGTCATATCCAAACTAGCCTTTCGCTCGATCGTTTTCACCTACCCACTATTGTGGCTATTGGAATTATTTATTCTTACATCTTACATTTTGTTACTCTCAGCAGATTTAAAAAGTGATGCCTTTTGCTTTTACTTTGTTTAACTGATATCTGATCTTAAGTTCATTATATCTTCTGTTAACATAAGAGCAAATGTTGACACAGTAAAGAACCATATTATTGTAATTGCCCAGATAATCAGGCTTCAGATGATCCGAGGATAAAACATGGTGATGGTGGCTCTCAAAGTGGTGGTCTTATTCCCTTGCTAAACAATAATTTCAGAACTGATGATAATTTAGGAGTTCTTCGATCAAGGTGGCAAATAGAAGGGTATCTGAACATGCAAGCTGATTTGCTTGAGAAGTGAGTGTTATATTCTCTTCTTTGGTTGACAAACTTTGTCCACAGTTTCTGATCACATATTTTGTTTGCTAGGGATGCCATCTCATTTCCCTTGTATTCATTTTCTGCTACTCTAAGGCAGCTGCAAAAGCTAGCTCCAGAGCTTCATCGTGTAAGTTTCAAAGCCTATATATGAGAGAATGATATTTAATTTCAGATATCTGAAACCTTTTCTACCCTTCTATAATAAGTTGATTATTTGCATATTGCTTCAGCTTATGTACACTTATCCCTTGAATTGTGTTGCAGGCACGATATTTGCAGTACTTAAACGCTCTTTATCACAATGATTATCTTTCTGCTTTAGATGAGCTTCACTGCTATTTTGATTATAGGTACACTTTAAATTATCTCTGAGATCCCTTTTTGTGGCATTGTTGCAAGAAGCATTAATTGTATATTGAACTGTTCTGCTTATTGTCATTCATCATAATTTTAGGTTGTATGGACATGGGCACAAGAATTTGATATGGACGTGTATCCAAGTGTTGGGATTTTCAAGGAGACAATAGGATACATGAGCCTATGGGATAATAATACAAAGGGTGGTCTAGCGCACAAGGTTCTACCATGCAGGCTATGGGAAGGCCAATTTACACAGGAAAAAATGAGACAAAATTATAAGAAGTGGATTTTTTTATCAAACTATATCCAATGTTTTTTCTTCATTTTATCCTCCATTGCTTCTATCCTTATTCATTTTTTATTCTTTTCCTCGGCCACACTATCCATCTGGTTCTATATCCTTTAGCTCAGCTAAAATAACTCAAATAATTTATATTCTAGTTACCAAATTAATAATGCATGAAAAAGACATCTTTATTGACAAAAACTTCTCTTAATCTAAGTACTAAATTATTGACATATCAACTTTTTCCCTTAACCTGGGTGGTACCTAGTGGTTACTCGGTACTCTAATTCCCTTCGCATTTTAACCATCCGAATCCAAAGTTACAAGTAATATTTATTTCAATATGCACTCATTGAATGATAGATTCAAAATGCTTAAAGAAGTTTAATATTCGATGGATAAATAGCCATCTCACTTTATGCAGTGGTTGATCAATTTATCAGAGGGACTAATAAGGAACTTGTATGCTACCCAATATAAGGGAGAGGTGACATCACATTTCAATATGCATCATAATGAAAGGATTATCACAGACAAAAATTAAATGGTTAATAGTTTGCTGAACAAAACAACAATACTACGTATTGGACAGATAGTTGTGAATGTCATTTATCATAGTCAGAGGCATAAATATTTAGCACAGGTTTGCTTGCATATATTCTATGAAGGTATAGTATATTCAAGTGCTTGATTAATCATTTATGGTTTAATTTTTGTTATTGTGAGGAAATAATGATGTGGAACAATCATGACAGTGTTTATCACATAATTAGTCCACATTTTGCATGTATAGTTTTAAATGTTTAAAATGTTAGATAGATTTTTGATAATGTTGTTCTGTTTTCTGATCGGTTGCTTGTTTTCATGAAGTGCTGGGATGGAGGGACTCTTTAGTCGTTCACCCTCTCCATCGTCTGAATTCGAAGTTGGGAGATTTGAGACAGCTTTGTTATGCTTAGGCACTCTGCAGTGCCATTTTGGGCATCCTAAGAAGGCTTTGGAGGTAGCTTATCTGTGGAAGTCATTTTTATCGATCTCTCTCCCTCTCCGGTTGTGGATGACAGTTTGACATTTTGACCTTTACACCACCATCCTGCGACACCCATTATCCCGTGGACTTATCTTTTCCATGCATACAGCATTTATGTCAAACACTGTGATTCTTTATTCATCACTAACTAGAGGAGTGCTAGTCTGATGTGAACCAATGAAGTCAAACTCATCAGCTGAATCCATTTGTTGAGGGGGCTGGTTCAGGCAATCTTGACATAGCAGGGTTGACTTGAGCCACCAAGTTTGTTATTCAGCTCGAGTTAATCTTGAACAAAGGATGCTTCACGCAGGGTTTGATTGATTGCCATGTACCTGATTGCTGGGTCTCAACCTTTAGCCTATATAATTTTCATGGCATATTACCTAATATAAAAGGCTCATTACTTTAAAGTTTATGAAGTCATGGAGTTATGCTATCACTTCTTTGGTTTTTGATGACTAGCGATAGCATGGTTTGCAATACCGTACCATACCGCTCGGTATGGGCAATACGTATTAGTCCAATAGAGGACCGGTATGGGTAGTACATCTGTACATTTTAGTGTATCATGTGTCGGTATGCTAGGTATAACTTGGTACAGCTTGGTACATATCGTATTGACAACTGATCGGTACACCGGTATGGTATTCAAAATCTTGAGCGATAGTCTAATGATGAATTTGTATTTCTATAATTAGTCATCCAGTCAAAGGCAGATTAGACTGATATTTCTGGTTTGCCTGGTAACACTTCCTTTCTTGTAGTAGGATCTCATATGTACCTTTATACACGCACCTATATGCTGACCCATAATCCCTCTATTTTGCTACTTTTCAGGCTCTAACTGAAGCAGTACGGATCGCTCAACAGGTAATAATGTGGCTGATTGGTCAACTTTGAGTTTATGAATGACATTCTTCCTTTTATAATTTATCATGAAATTCTTATTGTTTGTTGGAGAACATTATTCTCACTATTAAATTCAAATATGCTATAAAACAACCTAGCTAGGTTTGTTAACATCAGTAATCATTTTTCAGTTATTTGTTATCTGGCATCGATCTTCTCAAATGAGATGTTTCTAGTTGAGTTCTTGGTCTTAGAGACCCAATTTTATGGGACCATAAATTTGCTTCCAATAGCAAGAAAAAAGTACGTGGTTGATACTAAGCTCAAGACCTTGCTGCTTTAATGGTTTTATGCTTTAGTCTTTATTTAGTTATACTGATAAGTACATTAGCTCTTAACATCAATCTCATTTTGTTAATGTGTTTGAGGATTGTGCTAATACTTAACATGAAGTCATGGATGATTTTGTGGAAGTGAAGAGTTGGATTATGATGTACTGGAATATGGAAATTTTTAACATATGTGTGCATTGTTTTCCAAAAAATAAAGTCAATTTTAATATTTTAAACGTAATCATTAGAAAATAATCACCAATCAATGAGGTTAATACACTAAAGTGAAATATTGTCGTCAATGCATGAATTGTATGCAAAACACCCCAGATTCCATATTGAGTAAAAGGACACATGCAGCCTGAAGCAAGTATTGCATTACATTGTTATGCCTTGAGATAATCTATGTAATGATTTGATATGTATTATGTGAAAATAAATATAGCTGGTTCTTGATAATGTAATATTTTCTTACAAAATCACATATGAATTAAAAGGTTCTTAAAAAAAAAAAGTAATGTATTAAACTATTAGTATTTGTTATCTGGATGCCTTTCTGTATATTATGAATTCTCTTTCCTGTGGGAGATTTATTCACTACATGTTTTTCTGCATTGTTGCTATCTGCTGCAGTTTTTGCTAGAGTTGCTACATTAGTAATAGCATATCTGAATATGGTACCTTTTACAGAATAATGATGATTCATGCCTTGCTTACACGTTGGCAGCCATATGCAAACTCTTATCTGAGATAGGGATTTCAAACATGACTGGAATAATTGGTTCTCCATATTCATTGGGCACTACTACTGGTCTTGGTACACCATTGTCCACCCAACAACAGTTACTTGTTCTTTTAAAAAGATCACTTGAGAGGGCTGATCATTTGAAGCTTACAAATTTGTTAGCCTTCAATCATCTTGCCTTGGCAAAATTTGATCTCAAGGTAAGTTCTTATTATCTTTTCTTTGTTGGTATATTTTTCATAGTTCATGTGGGTTTCAAGCAGTGATTTAAAAAGCGCTAGGCGCTAAAAGGCGCGAAGGTCCAAAAACGCCCGAGGCGCTAGGCGCTCGGCGCTCGCCCGAGCGAAACGAGGCGCTAAAATATAAAAATATATAATATAATTAATAAATATAATTATTTAAAATTTTATATTAAAATATGTTATTAAATTAAGAAAATCTATTAACAGTATTGAAAATTAATAATTTCAAATAAACCTAATAATATTAACAGTATACAGTATACTGTTAACAGGATACTGTATACTGTTAACAAAAGGAGAAGAAGGAAGTGTAAGGGGGTGCTGAGTCTGCTGATTGAGAAAAGAGGAAGCGGCAGCGGAGTGTAAGGAGGCAGCGGCGACAGCGGCAGCGTTTGCGAGCAGCGACAGTGGCGAGCAGCGGCAGCGGGAGCAAGAGCGGCGAGCAGCGGGAGGCGCGAGCGGCGACAGAGGCAGCGTTTGCGAGCAGCGACAGCGGGAGCAGGAGCGACGAGCAGCGGGAGGCGCGAGCAGCGACAGCG